CTCGAACTCCTGACCTTGGGTGATCTGCCCACCTTGGCCTCCCAAAGTTCTGGGATTACAGGCATGAGTCACCATGCCCGGTTGATTGTTAGCATTTTTCAACAATAAAGTATCTTTAAATTAAGGTATGAGCATTTTTTATAGACATAATGAGATTGCACAGTTACTGGACTACAGTATAGTATAAACATAAGATTTATATGCATTGGGAAAGCAAAAAGTTTATATGACTTGGTTTGTAGTAATATTTGGTTTATTGTGATAGTCTGGAAGTGGACTGGGAATATCTTTGAGCTGTGTCTGTATGTTACCTGCCCATTAGTTTCTTGGTAGCTGTCGCTGTTATCAGGTTGGAAAAAAAAAGTGTATACTAAGTTTGGTACTTTCTGTGGTTTCATGCAGACACTGAGGGTCTTGGAATGTACCCCCTGCAGATAAGGGGGAACTGCCGTAATCTGCTAAAGACCACAAGAATTTGGGCTGCAATGATGGAGCTCACTCTTGAGTAAGTCATGGGAGAGTTCAGTAAAGTTGTTTTCTGTGAGGATATTTTAGAAAGTCCTAGATCTCTTATGTTGCCTCAGCAAGATGAGAGGTGTGTCATTAGGTATAAGCCCAAATACCTAAAAGGGCCTAGGGAGGTAATTTAAATGAGACTGACAGCCCATTCCCAGTCTAAAGGAGTCAACACGGCTTCAGTCAGTTGTTGACATATGGGAATACAATGGGAAAGCAAAACTGGAGGCCCATATTATTAAATTTGTAATTTCCCAGTTTTAAAATACTGGCTTTTTATTTTAAAAAGTTTAAATACTTTGTGTGTGCTAAATAATCATTAAGGACTCTTCCAATACTTGTATTTAACTCAGTGGTCCTAAAGCAGTAAAAATAAGCAAAAAAAAAAAAAAAAAAATTCACTAAAATTCGTATAGCTGTTTTCACTTCCCTTCATGTTACTTTAGTATAGAGCAGTATACTTTAAGAAACTGTTCACCCAATATGTACTCAAACCAGTTGTGTTCTCTCCACATATTCAAGAAAACAAACTATAGCTCCAACCTCACAAAAGATTGAGGACCTGGCTCTAACCTTTCTAGTTAAACCTGCTTTGTAAAAAGTCACTTCCAACTTCAAGGAAGAGTTAGTTCCTAAATCACTTAAACTGCTACTGTTCATTCTTCAAGGCTAGCATTACTCTGATACCAAAACTCGTTAAAGACAAGCACAAAAATCAGTAACAATGGACCGATTTTATTAATTATAAATACATTTTAATCCTAACTAAAAGATTAACAAATCAAACCCAGCATGGCTTTCATTTGATTAAAAAATAATAGAACATGACAAAGCAGAGTTTATTTCAGAAATGTAAAAATGCGTTGAACACTAGAAAATCAATGAGCATAATTCATTATATAAAACAGTCACAGTAAAAAACAAATATGGTGAAAGAGGCTAAGAGACGGCAAAATTTTGCAGTCTTTCCTGATTTAATAGCATGTAGTAAAACAGGATAGAAGAAAATGTCTTTAAAGATGATAGTGTATTTTCAGAATACCAACTGGCAGTCACGGTGGCTCACGTCTGTAATCCCAGCACTTTGGGAGGCCGAAGCGGGTGGATCACCTGACGTCAGGAGTTTGAGACCAGCCTGGCCAACGAGGTGAAACTTAATCTCCACCAAAAATACAAAATTAGCCGGGCATGATGGCATGTGCCTGTAGTCCCAGCTACCCCGGAGGCTGAGGCAGGAGAATCGCTGTAACGCAGGAGGTGGAGGTGGCAATGAGCCCAGATTGTGTCACTGCACTCCAGCCTGGGCGACACAGCGAGACTCCGTCTCAAGAAAAAAAAAAAAAAAAAGGCCGGGCGCGGTGGCTCACGCCTATAATCCCAGCACTTTGGGAGGCAGAGGCAGGTGGATCACGAGGTCAGGAGATCGAGACCATCCTGGCTAACATGGTGAAACCCCGTCTCTACTGAAAATACAAAAAAACTAGCCGGGCGAGGTGGCGGCGCCTGTAGTCCCAGCTACCCGGGAGGCTGAGGCAGGAGAATGGCGTGAACCCGGGAGGCGGAGCTTGCCGTGAGCTGAGATCGCTCCACTGCACTCCAGCCTGGGCGGCAGAGCGAGACTCCGTCCCCCCTGCAAAAAAAGAATACCAACTAGCACCAAATGGGCACATGCTTGCCTTACTGCATTAAAGCTGGATATCCATTATCTTGTCCTGTAGTCTTAAACATTTTTCTGAGGTTTTGACCAATGCATTAAGAAGAAAGAAACGCATTATTTGCAAGTGATAATGATTGTCTATGTACAAATTCAGAGGGATGAGCTGTCAAGCTGTTAGAACTAATAAGACATTTTTTCATATTGTGGTAGGACACAAGGTAAATAAACAAAAATCAATAGCTTTCCTAAATTACATCAATGAGAAATATCTCATTCACAAAAAAACTACAAAATATCTAAGAACAAACTTCCCAAGGATTATGCAAACCTATGTGATTTTTTTTTTTTTACAGATTCTGATGCAGATCTGAAAAAAAATCTTTTAATTTATCTAAAGATATAGAAAACAAGTATTTCTGAATGGAAAGACTCATGATATTGAAACTTTTGTAAAACAAGAGAATTAGGAGAGAGGTTCCTTTATGAAAAGGCAAATATGTTAAAGATGTAATGATTATAACTGTGGCATATTTTAGGAATAAGCAGATAATTAATAGAGGAGAATGTTCAGAAACAGATATATACGTGTATGTATACCTATGTATATGTATATGCAAATTTAGGTTGTAATTAACAGTGGCACTTCAAAGTAGTGAGGAAAGAATGGATTATTCAATAAATGACATGGGGGCAATTAGTTAATCATTTGGCAAAAATAATCTCTTATTAAACAATCTTATTTCCAAGAGTTAATTCCAAGGAAGTAAATGGACAAATGTGAAGAAATGCCTGTTGAAGCACTTTTTTTGGAATAGCGAAAAATAGAAAACCACACAAATGTCTACTCAGTAGATTATTTCAAATGTGTGTGTGTATTTGTGTGTACGTAGTATACACAGAAATTATGGAATGCCATAAGTCTGCTTTAAAATATGGCCAGGTGCAAGATGGCTCACACTTGTAATCCCAGCACTTTGGGAGGCCCAGGCAGGTAGATCACCTGGGGTCAGGAGTTCGAGACCGGCCTGGCCAACATGGCAAAAACCCGCCTTTACTAAAAATAACAAAAATTAGCTGGACGTGGTGGCGCACGCCTGTAATCCCAGCTACTCAGGAGCCTGAGGCACAGGAATCGCTTGAACTCGGGAGGCAGAGGTTGCAGTGAGCCAAGATGGCGCCACTGCACTCCAGTCCGGGCGACAGACCGAGGTTCTGCGTAAATAAATAAATAAAAGATGAAATAGATTTAAACGTAATGGAATGGAAGGATATCCACATAATCTTTAAAGTGAAAAAAAAATCAGGTTCTAAATCTATAGATATTCTTTGATCATTTTTATTTTTCCAATGTGTAGAGGCATAGAAAAGTCCAGAAGGATCTATAATGAGCTGTTTTGTTTTCATTTTCTATGGGGTAGATCCTTTATTGCATGGAAGATTATTTCACTCTGTTAGCTCTTTTTACATCAGTAGGAATACATCCTCATGGTTTTAAACTTCTTGACACTCTACCCTAGGTAAATATGCTCGGATAGAACTCTCTATTCACCATATTACCTATAAATCATATTGCACTTTTTAACTTTTCTAAATTACTTACTTTTTGCTTTCTCTTCTAGATTATAAAATTCGTGAGGGCAGGGACTGTATGTAAAGGTTCCCTTGTGAGCAAATAACCTTCACTTATTGAACTCTGTGTACCAAATACTGTGCTAAATGCTTTCAATAATCTCACTCTTAGGGAGGTATTACTACCATCTCCATTTTGAAGATGAAGATATTGAAAGATCATGAAGTTTCCCCCAAATGCCATCGCCAGGCCTATGTGACTCTTGGCCGTTACACGGTCATCAATAAAAATCTGTTTCATAGGAAAGAAATACAGCCAGCCGTGGCTTTAAGATCACTGGGTGCTGTAGTTGGACCAGAAACCCTTTAAACTCCTTCGTAAGACAGACACTCGCAAGCCCCGCCCAGGACGACCGCCCGCGCGCGTACGGCTAAGCGTGCAGGGGCGGGGCGAGCTTGTGGGAGTGGGGCGGGGACAGCTCTGATTGGCCAGCGTCGGGCGGAAGTCGGGAGGTTGGGTGGTCTGTAAACGCTGGCTTGTGACAGGGAGGGGGAGAAGGAAGGCCTTCGTAAAGGTTGCCTCTCCGTCCCTTCGCTCCCGGGGACCCGCGGAAAAAAAAAAAATCCAACACCCAGGCCCCGCGGCTAGCCCCTTCCCACAGCCTCTCTCCGCTCGATTTTGTCACCGTTATGTGGGAAGCGAATCCGGTGAGTAGCCGGGCGGGACGGGGCGGGCCCAGTGGGCGGGGTTGATGAGAGAGGGGCGGGAAGGGGGCCACCGGAACTGCTTCCCCGCGCTGGCTTCAGTCCGGGTGTTGAGTTCCGGGACCGGAGTGCCAGGGCCTTTTGGCTTCTGCAACCTGTACCTTTTTCAGCAGTGGAAGTGCCTCGGTGGATTCTCCAATGCGTTATTGTTTTCTTGTCACAGTTATTTATTTTACTTCCTGTGATGTTTCAGCCTCATGCCTTCACCGTTTTTTGTTGTTGTTGTTGTTTTTGAGACGGAGTCTCGCACTGTCGCCCAGGCTGGAGTGCAGTGGCGCGATCTCGGCTCACCGCAGCCTCCGTCTCCCGGGTTCAAGCGATTCTCGTGCCTCAGCCTCCCGACTCCCTTCACTGTTTTTTGAAACTTTGTGTTTTGCTTTCTAATTGGAGTAACTGGCCTTGGAACCTGTAGTCAGTCATTTGCCTCAGGTTTACCTGCCAGTCCCATCCGTCTAAAGCAAGGGAATTCGACCCCCTTGTCTTGAATGGGCCTAAGAGGAGCCGTCAGTTCTCCTTTTCCCTTCTTGGTGGACAGCCGTTTAAAACTTGGAGTATGGACTGTTATGTTCTTAGATGTTTTCGTTCAGTGGACAAAGTGATGATCTGGGACATTTCAACTGCAAGTGTGCCTCCTTCCTTGGTTGACTCTGGTATTTTCATTATGACTTCATGTATTTTTGTCTACTTTGCTTTTGTACATTTATTTATTTAAAGTGCAACGTAGGGGCGGAAAAGTGTAATACCTTCCCTCACCACCCATTGTAAGGATCACAGCCACCGCTCCTTGAAACAGAAGATAGGTTAACAAGGTAAAGCATAGCAGATCTAATCAAAGTTTTACGCCACCCGGCACTTCAGAGACCAGGGAGATCTCTATTTTTATGCGTAGGACCCATGAGGCATAGACAACTGTATAAAAATGTGATCGGACAAAGGATATACTCTCATGTTAATAAACTGAGGGAGGAAACCCAGCAAGGCCTGTTTGTTCAGATTCTTCTTGACCTCTCTGTGTATCATTTCTTCCTCCTACAGAGGAGGAAGGACCCTTCTGGAATGAGGGTCTTAGCGACCTACTGTCAAGCAAGGTAGGTTAGAGAATTTCTTTTTGGCCAGTTCCTACAGAGAAGGGCAGGGAAAGGTTACAGTAATAGTTCCAGTTTTTATGGCTTGCTTTGTAGGAGAGGGATTCTAGTTTCTATCACTCACCTTAGGGAAGAAGAATTCTGGTTTCTGTGACTCACTTCAGGGGCGAAAGATGGGCAGGAGACAGAAGGGTAAGAGAAGATCAGAGGGAGACTTTGCTTCCGAGGCTGCTGCTGAGGCCTTCCAATCTCTTTTAGTTCGAAGTACTCAGCATGCCAAAGTGTCATACTTCTGGGTAGCATTTTCTGAGCCCCAACACAACCCTCAGAGAGTGGGATCTATTTGCCAAGAGTATTCTTCTGTTGTTATGGTTGAAACTGCCTGGTAAGATGGCAGATGTATGGTATTTACAACTTAGGAGTTGACTGGAAAAATGACAGAATCATATTTCAGCAGGTTGTTGGACTAAATACAGTCGTGCGCCTTTTAATAATGGGGATACGTTCTGAGAAATTGGTTGTTGGGTAATTTTTTCATTGTGCGAACATCATAGAGTGAACTTTTATAAGCCTACTACACACCTAAGGCTATATGGAATAGTCTATTGCTCTTAACCTAGAAATCTGTACAGCATATTATTGTACTGAGTACTGTAGGCATTTGTAACACAATGGAAAGTATTTATGTATCTAAACATAGAAAAAGGTACAGTAAAATAAAGTATTATAATCTTTCTGTTGTATATGCAATCCATGGTTGACTGAAAGCTTTTATGCAATGCATAATTGTATATGAAACATACGAAACTACCCCTATGCTGAGATAACTGCGTAAATTTACTTTAATGACCCCTAATTTCCATATTTGCAATAATTTCCCATAATCAGTATTCTTCGCCCTCATTTCTGTAACATATTTCCAGATAAGTTAGAAAGTTTATCAGTACATTTCCCTAAGTTTTCAAGTTAAGTTTTTATCTAGTAGAAACTAGTCTGTTAGTCTGGATTTGTTGGTTGCACATTATGATTCCTTCTTGTGCATCATATAACAATAGTCATCATCTTAGTATTTTTGATTCATACATATAATACTCTCATCAAGCCAAATTAGAGGAAAGTAATTACTTGTATTTGATTTTAGCAAAAATAATTTAGAATAATGAGAATGCACTCTCTGCTTATATATTCAGTTTCACTATCTGTCATCAGCAGCCTTCATTTTGTATTTATATCTGTGTATATCTTTATGTAACTATATGCTCCATTTTTGTTATCAGTCCTTAATTTTTCCATAACAAACCCTTTAGCCACCCAAGTATATGTCTTACTCAGGGTTTTAAATCTTTCACTATATTGTAAGCTCCATATGGACAGGGAGTTTTCTCTGTTATTTTTCCTATAGTATCTTCAACTAGAGAACAGAGCCTGACACATAGTAGGCACTCAATAAATATTTGTTGAATTCATAATGGTGGTTGCATGAGCATGGACTAGAGATAATTCTTTGCTCCTACTATGAATTTTCCCTCCTCCGTCACACATACATCAGAATTTGCTATTGGATTATTTGTGTGTTTGTGAGAATTATAAAGGCATTAATGAATGTCTTATATACTTGGTTTGTTATATCATTATCTCATTTCTTTGTAAGAAATGGGTTTTCTTTGAAATCACCTGTGTGATTTTGCTTAATTTCAGCAGAGCAGGCCGACTTCTGTTAAAAGTGGGGAACCCTCCACAGATCCTCCCACATTCTTCTTTTGTCACCCAAATAAGACATATTTGTCTTATTGCTACTGTATTTTGTTACTACTAATAGTTTTTCTTCCTATGAGCATATGAGTGCTATTGATAAGCACAATTTGGTTTTAAAAATCAACATTCTACATGTGGGTTTCTCTAGTAATTTGTTAGTTTATTTTAGTTTCGCTTTCCTGGTTTCACTTACCACAATTTCAGTTACCAGAAGTCAGCCGCAGTCTGAAAATATGAAATGGAAAATTCCGGAAATGAACAATGAATAACTTTTAAGTTGCATACTGTACTATGTAGTGTGATAAAATCTCACGCCATTGTACTCCATCCTGCCTGGGGCCATGAATCATCCCTTTGTCCAGCATATCCACACTCCATATACTTTACCTGCCTGCTGGTCATATAATAACATATAATGGCACTCACTTATTTATTGAGCACGTATTGTAAGCTAGTTGGTGCGAAGTCCCAGGGATTACAGTGGTGAACAGAACAGACTAGGTCCCAGCCTTTATGGGTTTGCAGTCTGGTGCAGGCAGGCAGACATTAAACAAATAATTACGCAGATAACATTTAATGTGATAAAAAGATATGAAAGAAAAAGAGTACTGTGACAGTGTAGGGGGAGCTGGTACTAGAGTGGGCAATCAGGAAAGGCCACCCTGTGAAAGTAACTTTTATAGAGATCTGAAGGATTGAGCAAGCATTAGCTAGGTAACGGTTGGCTGGAAGGTGGGGAGAGCTGTTCAGACAGCAGAGATAGTGTGAGCAAAGATCCTGAGGCAGAAAGGAGCTTCGTGCTTGAGAAAAAGAGAGAAGCCTATGTGACTGGGACACAGTGTGCCAGAAGACAAGCCCAGGAGGTGGGAACCAGGCCATGCATGGATTTATGGCACATGATTAATATTTTAAACTTTATCCTTAGAGGAGTGGTAACACATTGAAGGAAGTGTCATGAACATATTTATGTTTTTAAAAACATTACTCTGGCTGCTGTGTAGAAAATGAGTTTATGTATTAGAAAATATGGTAGACATAATAATGGCCTCCCAAAGATAACCACATCTTAATACCCAGAATCTGTGAATATGTCGTTACATGTCAAAGGGGAGGTGATTAGCTAATTGGCTGACCTTAAAATAAAGAGATTATCTTGGATTATCCGGGGGCGGGGAGGCCCAAGGTAATCACAAGGGTCCTTAAAAGTAGAACATGGGGACAAAAGACATGGAGTGACTATGGAAGAATGGTCAAAGAGATACAACATGGCTGGCTTTGGAGATGAAGGAAGGAGGTCACAAGCCAAGGTATGTGGGTAGCTTCTAGAAGCTTGAAAAACCACGGAAATAGATTGTCTCCCACAACCTTCAGAAGGGAATCAAACTCAACTTGATTTTAGCCCATTGAGACGCATGCAAGATTTCTACAGAAATGTAAGAAAATAAATTAGTGTTGTTTTTAAGCAACTGCGTTTGTGGTAATTTGTTCTAGCAGCAAAAGAAAACTAATGCTGAGGGGGATAAGAGGCTGTAGGAAGACTAATAGGTTACAGTATAATCCAGGGTAGAGATGAAGGTGACTTGGACTATGTGGTGTGACTATGAAGTCACCTATGAAGGTGATTACTAAGTGAGGGGGGAGAGAGAAGATCAATTCAAGCTGCATCTTAGATGATGACTTAGCTTTCTGGCACAGGCAGCCGGAAACAAGATGTTTTCACTGAGCTTGGAAAAGGGAAAGCCATATGGAAGATAACAGGAGTTTGTTTTTTAACTCACTATGTTTAATGTGCTTGTGAGGCATCAAGTAGTAAAGTTGGGAAGGTAGTTGGTTAGGTAGGTAAGTCTGGAGCTCAGAGAAGGCTGGGCTGGAAATTGAAATTTGAGCCTCAGTGTCTATAGTCTGTCACCCAGGCTGGAGTGCAGTGGCATGATCTCAGCTAACTGCAACCTCTGCCTCCTGGTTTCAAGTGATTCTCCTGCCTCAGCCTCCTGAGTAGCTAGAACTACAGGTGTGCACCACCACACCTGGCTAATTTTTGTATTTTTAGTAGAGACAGGGTTTCACTGTTTTGGCCAGGCTGGTCTTAAACTCCTGACCTCAAGTGCTCCACCCGCCTAGGCCTCCCAAAGTCGTGGGATTACAGGCGTGAACCACCGTACCCAGCCCCCAATAAAACAGTATTTTAGAAATTAATGTTTTTATTATCATTGAGAAGGATGATTTTTTTTTTTTGCAGCTTCTTACAAAGTACTTGTATCTAATTTGATGATAGTTTGAGATGAAGATTAGACCACACTTTGATTACTCCATATGTCTACTAAATTAGGAAATGTTATGCCACAATTATAGATTATCAGAAATTGCAACTTGTGTTTGCTGGCCCTGTCAGATGTTTTGGAATATCAAGGTCAAACACAGACTGAGAAGTTATTGGAAGATTTCTCCCTGAAGACTATATCCTGTGCTCTTTCAGTTGCTCGATTGACAAGCCTATAATATTAGGGTGAATGTTTCATCCAGCCTGAATGTTTGGAAAATAGTAACAAATGGATTCTTAAGTCATTTTCTGACTTCCTCAGTGTCTGGAAAGTATTTTCCCATGTTTTGTTTTAACATTTAGTCATGTTCCTTATACACACAATAGTGTAATCAGTCTCTCTCTCTGATGAGTGAAGAAAACCATCAGGTTTTGGGAAGGAATCACATCCTAGCAATTGAGCCATTTGCAACATAGCTTGCTGACTTTGAAAAATATATCTTATTCTCAGCATTAAAAATCAGGGTATTTTGGCCCTGAAGTAGTAGGTTCACACTATTTAAAATTCTAGATATATCTCTGCTATACTCCACTTAAGCAGGCCTCTAGAAAGCAGAATTACTTTTTGGTATTGTCAACATTATGAAGAATTTTTTTTGTTTTTTTAAATCTCATCCCTCCTTTCAGAAACTTGTCAGCACCTTTTTCCTTGACAGCCAGCAAACTTGCGTGGGAAGAATAATCTTGCAAACGCTGCCATTTCCTTCTGCAACATCTGAGAGCATGTACTCTGAATAGTCAATATTTGATGATGTTTAATTTCCATTATTTCCTTCAACACTCAATTATAATCAGGAGGCATATTGTTGACTCCTATTTCATATAAAGAATCTTTTAGTAATATAACAGTGTATGTTTTTGCTATTTGTATACTTCTTGCTCTGTCAATTTTGAATGTCTTACACCTTTTTCAACTTATGTCATAGCTCACAAAAGTATCATTGTCTAAATAAGAACTGTCTTCCCTGTACTATAAGTTTTCACTGATATGTGGAACAAAAAGTTGTTGAGTATTTTTACCTTATATACTATATATGTGTCAAGCACTGATTTATATTTTCTCCACAGGTAGTTTGTCCAATTGTAAAACAAAATATATGCTGAAACACTCACGTGATAGTAATTGCTTTTCTATATTTTGTTGCATGACAATATAAGACATCGAATAGAATCATTTAATAAAAAATTTTGGTCAATAGCTTGTTTCTTCTCAGGCATTAAATTTGAATTGACTAGCTTCTCAGCAGTATCAAGAATCTTCACCTGTTTTCGCTGAGGAATGCGTCTTTTCTCTTGATTTCTTCTTTATCCATATCAACAAAGCAAATGGACTTTGTGCTTTGCATGAAAATAATCTGAAAGTTTCCTTGAGTTTTATACTACCATATTTAAGTAAATGCTAACTATGGCTGATGTGAAATGTATCAACAGAGAGTGAATACAATGGAATATTATAGTGAATGATAACTTTAAAGAAAATAAAGTGATTTTTCATGCAGATCATCATTAATCTTACATTTCAACTTTTCAAAATGTATGTCGACAAATTTATTTCATTACTTTGCCCCTGAAAATGCCTTTGAATGATCTCATAATCCCTGAGGACCATCCTTTGAAGATTCTGAGAGAAAACAAGAAGGGCTAGGACTGAGCTATGAGGAACTCTAAAAGTTACAAGCTGAGGAGAAGTCAAAAGTGAAAGGAGACTGAGAATTTATGGTCAAAAAAATAAGATGATCTGAAGAGTGTCATGTCATAGAAACCAAGAGAAGAGTGATTCAGGACAGAGGACAAACTGTGAAATGTTACCGTGAGATAAGTAAGATGAGGACTGAAAAGAGCATAGGATTTAGTAATGTGAAGTTCATTAGACATCCTAGGAAGTATCTTTTGTTTGTTTTTAAGTGATGATGGGTGGGAAAGGTTGGATCAGCTAGAAAAGTTAAATTGGAGTGAGTGATAGCATAGAAAGTGAAGAAATAAACATATTATGTAGACAAATAATTACAGTTAATAAGCCACCAAAGGAGACAAGATGAAATCCTAAAAGCACTCAATCTGAAAGAAGATAGAAAAGAAAAACAGAACAAAGAACAGGTGGGACCCCCCCCCCAAAAAAAGCAAATAACAAGATGGTAAACTTAAAGCTAACCATATCAATAATCATACTACATATAAATAGACCAAACACTCCAATTAAAAGACATAGATTTTCAGACTGGATTAAAAAAAAACCAAGACCCAAGTGTAAGTTGTCTGTAAGAAATACACTTTGAATATAAAGACGTGAATAGAATAAAACTGAATAAAGAAAGATACACAGTGCTAACACTAATGAAGAGAAAGTGTGAATGGTTTATTATTGTTAAGGTAGATTTCAGAGATAATGATATTACCAAGGATAAAGAATGATAAAAGAGATCAGTTAACCAGAAACAATCCTGGATATTTTAGACATCTCATATTAGAGCTTTAAAATGCATGAAACAAAATCAATAGAATAGCAATAAGAAATAGATACCCAATTATACTGGAGATTTCAGTAGTTTTCTCCAAATAATTGATGGAATAAGTATATTGAAAATGAGCAACAGTATAAAAAACTTTAACACCACTATCAACTAACTTGATCTGCTTGGCATTTGTAGAACAGTTCACCCATCAACAGCTGAAATACATGGGTTTTCTTTTTTTCCAACTACATAGAGAATGTGTAAAAAGATACACCATATTCTGGCCCATAAAACATGTCTCAGTACATTTGAAAGAATTGAAGTCATGCAAGATGTATTTTCTGACCTAAATGGAGTTAAGTTAGAAACCAGTAACAGAAAGATCTGTAAAATTCCCAAGCATTTGGTAAATAAATAACACTTTAAGGTAACCCATGGGTTAAAGAAATGAAAAGAGAAAATAGAAAGTATGAAAACATAACATATCAAATTTGTAGATGGTGCCAAAGCAGTACTTAGAGGGAAATTTGTAGCTAAATTAATGGCTGTATTGGAAAAGAAGAAATGTTACAAATCAATAATCACATCTTTCTAAGAAACTAGAAAAAGAAGAGGAAGTTAAACAGGAGCAAGGAAATAAAGGTTAGAGTGGAAATCACTACAACAGAAAATAACAGTGAAAATCAGTGAAACTGAAAGCTAGTTCTTTGAGAACATCAATACTATTAATAAGTTTCTAGCCCAACAGATCAGGAGAAAAAGACACAAGTTACCAATATTAAGAATGAGAGAGGTGACATCACTACATATTCTAAAGACATTAAAAGGATAATAAAGGAATGTTATGAACAACTGTATATCAAGCAGTATGGCAACTTAGATCAAATGGACATATTCCTACAGAGACATAAACTACTAAAGCTCACTGAAGAAACAGATAACACAAATAGTCTAACATCTGTTAAAGAATTTGAATTTGCAGGAAAAAATCATTCTTAAAGAAAATTCTAGGTCCAGATGGTTTCAGTGGTGAATTCTACCAAATATTTAAGGAAGAAATCATACTAATTAACACAATTTTAGAAAATTGAAGAGGAGGTAATACTTAACAGTTCATTTCATGAGGCTGTCATACCTTTATTTCAAAACCCATCATAGAAAACTACAGACCAGTATCCTGCCTGAACATATGTGCACAATTTTAAACAGAATTTCAGCAACTCAAATCTAACATATATAAAAGGATTAATACATCATGGCCAACTGGTGTTTATTCCAGGAATGCAAGGTTGGTTTAATGTTTGAACAGCAATCAATGTAATTCACCAGGTAAACAAACTAAAATGAAAAACTATATGGTGATTCCAGTACCTGCAGAAAAAGCCTTTGACAAAATCGAATATCGACTCCTGATTAAAATTCTTGGCAACCTAGGAATAGAAAGGAACTTGCTCAGCTTAATGAAAGGTGTCTGGAAGGGGGTTAACTCAGCAGGCTGGGGTTGTTCAAACCTTGCCCATTCTTAAGCTTGTTTCCATGACTGTCCTTTGCTCACCTCCAGGGAACTAAGCTCTTGAAATTTTTTGTCTTAATAGTGTATTTGCATGCCTGAGTCCTTGAGCCGTGCTATACCAGTTTGTCCAGATTATTTATACTAGCAATGCGGTTTATGGTGAAGACCTGCTTTCCCTCTGGGAATCTGGAACTTCAGTAAAAGGTCAGTCACACAGGTGCTGTTATGTTTACATGACTGATACCCAGTAAAAACCCTGTACACTTTGGCTCAAGTGAACCTCCTTGGTTGGTAACACTTTGCACATATTGTCGTACATAGTTGGGAGAATGAAGTGTGTTCCATGTGACTACACTGGGAAGGGACACTTGGAAGCTTGTATGTAGTTTCTTCTAGACTTCACCCCATGTGCTTTTCCCCTTTGCTGATTTTACTCTATGTTCTTTCACTGTAGTAAAGTGTAACCATGAGTAGAGCAACTTTTGAGTCTGTGAGTCCTAGCAAATCATCAACCCTGAGGGTTGTCTTAGGGACCCCTGACATAAAGGGCATCTTCAGAATACCTTTATCTAACAACTTGATGGTGAAAGACTACTTTCTCCCTAAGATCAAGAACAAGGCAATGATATCCATTCTTTATTCAGTATTCTACTAGAAGTTCTAAGGAAAAAGGAAAGGAAAAAAGGCATCTAAATCTTAGAAGAAAGAAAGCAAGCTGTCTTTATTCAGATAATATGATGCCTGTGTAAAAATCTGATGGAATCTTTAAAAAGCTCTTAGAACTAATAAATGAGTTTCATAAGGTTGCTAGATACGGAATTCATATACAAAAATCAGTGTATCTCTCTATATGCTAGCAATGTATAATCAGAAATTGACTTTTGAAATGCAGTTCCACTTACATTACTGTCAAAAATGTGAAATAAGTAAGCCTGAAAGTAGCATAAAAGATTTGCAATGTCTGTACATTGAAACTTACAAAATATTCTTGAAAAAATTAAGACCTAAATAAGTTGAGAGATATAATTTATTCATGGGTTAGAATACTCAATATTGTTAAGATGCCAGTTTTCTCCAGACAGATTGATAATTCTATGCAATCCCAGTAAAAATAAAATCAAAGGACCTATAATAGCCAAAGCAATTCTGAAAAAGAACAAATTTGGAGAGCTAATGCTATCTGATTTAATGATTCAGTGTGAAACAACAATAATCAAAACGGTGTAGTATTGGCATCAAGTTAGGGAAGTTAATTAATGGAATGGAATAGAATAAAAAATAGGGCCACAAACACATGAGTTTTTAAATAAAGGTAAGATTCAGTGGGAAAAGGACAGTTTTAACTAATGATGCTGAAGCAATTGGATACCCATATGCAGAAAAATGAACTTCACTTCATACTTTGCTATACTATAAAAATTATATAGTATATTATATAGTATATAAAATATATAGTCTATAATTTATATAGTATATAAAATATACTAATCTATAGTATATAAAAATTTACTAAAAATGGATCACAGACCTAAATGCAGAATCTAAAAGTACAAATTTCCAGGTGAAAAAAATAGAAAAAAATATATATATATATTTTTTTAATTTTTTGAGACAGAGTCATGCTTGGTTGCCTAGGCTGTAGTGCAGTGGTGTGATCATAGCTCATTGTAACATTGAACTCCTGGGCTCAAGCAATCCTCTTTCTTGTCTCTCAAGTAGCTGGGACTATAGGTGCGTGCTACCATGCCCGGCTAATTTTTAAATTTTTTGTAGAGATGAGGTTTTGCTATGTTCCCCAGGCTAGTCTCAAACTACTGACTTCAAGTGATCTAGTCTAAAACTCCTGGTCTCAGTCTTCTGGCTGCAGTCTCCCAAAGTGCTGTGATTAGAGAGATGAGCCACTACGCCTGACTGAGCAAAATTGTTTTCAAATTTTAAAATTTGTATTTCTCTAATAACTAATGATGTTGAACATCTTTTCATGTATTTTCCATCTGCTTGTTTTCTTTGGTGTAGTGTTAGGTAGCATTGGTTAGGCACTGAGTCTCGCTTGGTCGCCCAGGCTGGAGTTCAGTGTCACGATCTGGGCTCACTGCAAGCTCCGCCCCCCAGGTTCACGCCATTCTCCTGCTTCAGCCTTTGGAGTAGCTGGGGCTACAGGCGCCCTCCACCACACCCGCCTAATTTTTTTGTATTTTTGGTAGAGACGGGGGTTTCAGCATGTTAGCCAGGTGGTCTCAATTTCCTGACCTCATGATCCGCCCACCTCTGCCTCCCAAAGTGCTGGGATTACAGGTGTGAGCCACCGCACCCGGCCTACATCTGCCATTTTACTTTTTGTTTTCTATTTAATTTTTTTAAATGTTGGAATATTCACCTCTATGTAATAATGTATCTTGGAGATAGTACCCAATTCTAAACATGAATTTATTTATGTTTCATATACGCCTTATACACATAGTTCAAAGGTAATTTTATATAACATTTTTCATACTTTTGTGCGTGAAACAAAGTATACACTGATCCATTAGAATGCAAAGATGTCATATCTCTACCACCCTTGTGGACAAATCTGTGGTGATTTGGCATTATCATTTCTGACTCTGAATTTACATGCTACCAATAAGCATTCATTTTCTTACTTCATACATAGGTTCTTTTTTTTTTTTTTTTTTGAGACAGAGTCTTACTCTGTCGCCCAGGCTGGAATGCAGTGACATGGTCTTGGCTCACTGTGACCCCCAGCTCCTGGGTTCAAATGATTGTCGTGCCTTAGTCTCCCAAGTAACTGGGATTACAGGTGCACACCACCACACCAGGCTAATTTTTTTTTTTTTTAATAGAGTTTCACCATGTTGGCCAGGCTTGTCTTGAACTCCTGACCTCAAGTGATCCACACACCTGGGCCTCCCAGGGTGCTGGGATTACAGGCGTGAGCCACCACACCCAGTCTGAATATTCATACATAAATTCTTAACAGTAAAAAGTATGACATGCATTTAATACAGTAAAAAAATAATGTGTTCAGGATAACTAAGCAGTGCAATAGCATAACCAGAATATGTTTATCAGATGTTAAACAACAGCAGCTGCAAACAGTGGCAAGCTTTGTCTCCACCTATGATGCTGTGTCTTGATTAAAATGTTCCTATACACTGTATTTTTTGACTTTAGGTAAAACATCAGAAGTGATTGAGGGACCAAGTAGTGGGTCCTGTAGAGATGAGGAAGCATTTTGCTGAATGGCTTTTAAAAATGTTTCGTTTAGAGTCATCTACCTCATTAACAATGGTTTTTGTCTTAGAAATCTTTCTTTGATGTTATAAATCGACATGAATTCTTGTTTGGTGTGAATGCACACTGCTCCAGACCTTTAGCAATCTCATCACATGTTTTATCATGTTATCTACAGCCACTTTCTCTGCATTGTTAATGTTATCTTCATCACTTGTTATCAAATCACCTTGATTCAGAACCATTTTAACTATTTCACCATTGATACTGAATGAACAACTGGAGCCTCGTTATCAGTATTAGAAACATCTTCGATATTCACTTCTTCCAGCTTACCGATAGACTCTGGAGGTACATTTTTTGCATATGTAAGGAGGTTATACATCTTTTTTTTTTTTCCCTTGGATGATATACAGAATCCTTTGAAATCACCAATTGCTCATCATCAACACTGAACATAGTCACAGGCCAGAACGACTCTGTCTTCAGTCATTGTGTTCTGAGTGTTGGCAACTGCATATATGGCATCCTCCACACTAAACTGCGTTTGAAAACTTCTACACCCATATTTCTGTTCACTATTGCTAGCATGCTATTCAAGAATATATTTTTATATTTACTCTTTATTGATCTAAGGATATCCTGGTCACATGGCTTAATTAATGAAGTCACATTTCAGGGAAAGCACATGGTATAAACGTTTTTTTTAATGGGAATTTCAGTTGGAGGATGAAGAGACCAGTTGTCAAGGAATAACAAAATCTTACAGTTCTTACCCCGTCCAGCTTCACTGCAGTAAGCATGAGCCGCTAGTACAAAATGTTTGTGAAACTAGTCAGAAAAGAGGTTTCTGGTGATGCATGCCTTTTCTTTTCCCTTTTTTTTTTTTTTTTAACATAATAGTAGACTGGTAAGAAATTCACTCCTTGAATACAGTGAGAACATGAGGTTTTGCCTGTCAAAGCAAGTTTACACTTATGTGTGTATTAGCATAACCCAGCAGTTATTCTGTCCTTGGCATCTTTCATTCCTGTAAGGGCCATCTCAGCAGCTGTAATTGGTGTCTTTCTGGGACAATAATGTCAAAACAGTGATGTTTCATCAGCATTATAGACTTGTTCTAGTGTCAGATGTTTATTAGCAATGACGTTGGCAAACTCATCAAAGAATTTCTCTGTTGCTTCGTGATCACCATGTTTTATCCCTGCATGTCTTTAAAAATTTAATGCTGTATCTTTTTTTCTTATTATTACACTTTAAGTTCCAGGGTACGTGTGCACAGTGTGCAGGTTTGTTACATATGTATGCATGTGCTATGTTGGTTTGCTGTACCCATTAACTCATCATTTACATTAGGTATTTCTCCTAATGCTATCCCTCCCCCATCCCGCCACCCACAGCAGGCCCTGGCATGTGATGTTCCCTACCCTGTGTCCAAGTGTTCTCATTGTTCAGTTCCCACCTATGAGTGAGAACATGCGGTGTTTGGTTTTCTGTCCTTGTGATAGTTTGCTCAGAATGATGATTTCCAGCTTCATCCATGTCGTTGCAAAAGGACATGAACTCATCCTTTTTTATGGCTGCATAGTATTCCATGGTGTATATGTGCTACATTTTCTTAATCCAGTCTATCATTGATGGACATTTGAGTTGGTTCAAAGTCTTTGCTATTGTGAATAGTGCCACAATAAACATATGTGTGCATGTGTCTTTATAGTAGAATGATTTATACTCCTTTGGGTATATACCCAGTAATGGGATCGCTGGGTCAAATGGTATTTGTAGTTCTAGATCCTTGAGGAATTGCCACACTGTCTTCCACAATGGTTGAACTAGTTTACACTCCCAGCAACACTGTAAAAGCGTTCCTATTTCTCCACATCCTCTCCAGCGCCTGTTTCCTGACTTTTTAATAATCGCCATTCTAACTGATGTGAGATGGTATCTCATTGTGGTTTTGATTTGCATTT